CCTAGTTGCTAGGAATTGTTTTGTTGTTGTTGTTGTTTTTTTTTTGGCCGGTCATGCGGCCTAAACTTTGGGCCTGGGCACTGTCCCTCAGCTCTTCAGCTCAAGGCTAGAACTCTACCCCTTGAGCCATAGGGCCACTTCCGGCTTTTTCTGCTTATGTGGTGCTGAGGAATTGAACCCAGGGCCTCATGCATGCCAGGCAAGCACTCTACCACTGAGCTACCTTCCCAGCCCAGCCAGGAATTGTTTTTATCTGCTCATTCCCAGGTCGGGCTCATGGTCAGCTGCATAACTCATACCTCACAAGATGTAGTACTAGCTCAGGCTCCTCATAGTAAATTCAATCACTGGAACTCTACTAGAATTTTTTTCATAGTAATTACTTTTAAATTAATTTAAAGTTTAGAGTAAGCCACGAACATCTGCATTACACATAAAGTGTATTCATTCAAATAATTGTTACATAACATTGAGACCTTAGGTTTCCAGCTTTTGGACAGGGTTTTGGACAGGGTTTCTTTCTTTGATAATCATATCTATTACAGATGATTAATTACATAAAAATTGCTCACACCCATAACCTTTGTTGAGTAATATAGATTTACCCTTTTTTTTTTTCCCACTAAAGCCTGTTATCTCAACATTTGCAGCACCAGAAAGTGTGGCCTGTTCTAGTGGGGAAGATAAGTCATTTGTGCTGTTAGTGAATCTTTGTACAGAAAGTCCAAAGTGGTCACCCTCTAAGCCAGTTAGTTATTTTGTTCTAGGTTCTTTTATGTTACAGCTTACATCTAGATATCATACTTCCAGTAGTTAAAGGGCTAATCAGGAATCTTTGTTTTAAAAATAGAAGGTTTAGGGTGAGGAAAGAGTATATTTCTCATCAAATATAGATTTCATAAAGAATCTTCTCACTGAAACTATTTCTTCTTAGTTTTTTTTTAAATAATCTTTAAAAAAATTTAACAAATAGAAGACACTGAAAAGCAGATAGTATGGTAGGATTTCAAATATATTTTTCTGTTATTTATAGATTATATATCAATTGATGCCATGAAGAAATACCTTGGGGAGTTACATGACTTCATTCCCAGAAGCTCAGGATATCTGGCATATCATGTTCAAGATGAAATTAATATGTCTGCTTTAGATATGAATGCCTCTCGGTTGAGTAAAGCCAAGGAAGTAGGAGCTGATTTCATTCTCCAGATCAACAAGGAGAGTCCTAAGGAAATTGCCAGTAAAGTGGAAAAACTTCTGGGGTCCAAGCCGGAAGTCACCATCGAGTGCACAGGGGCAGAATCCTCCATCCAGACGGGGATCTATGTGAGTGGACTGCAGGCGCTGAGCTGGGGGGCGGCTCAGGGTCACCACAGGGATGGACGGAGCCATCCGGAAGTTCTGGGCAGGATGAATGGGTGCTCGCAACAGACCTTCTCTCTTCGGCTCTTACATGAGCAGTGTGGCCCATTCCTGTAGTTCCGAGGCCTCACTCTGCAAAGGTGCCTGCCACCTTTGGAAATGGGCAGCGGGCACGAAGGCCAACATGGCTGGCGGGAAAACAGCCTGATAACAAGTTTTTATTTTCTTTATTTTTTAATGTCACCAACATACTGATACAGCAAAACCTGGGTCACCAGGAGAGGACTGACAAACTGACACGGAAAAGTACTGTCATCCTCAAATACTTTGCTTGCAAAGAGACAGTTGGCTTGCTATTTGTCACCTTGGCTTTAGTATAGGTTTTCCAAGCCTACAGGACCTCAGTCAAGAGTGCGCTTTGAGTTTTTATAGCAACCTGAAGATCAAAGCCCTAGACTCAGCCATGCTGCAAACACCTAAGTGGCAGTTTCCTCTACCCAATACTGCCAACAGAGACCTCCTGGATGGTTAAGACCTCTAGGGCCCCTGGAAGGCTTTAGGAGACAGTGAAGAAGGAGGCTTACTACCACTATCCCTACTTCCCTGCCTTACCACCTCTCTGACAGCCCAGGAAGATTTAGAAAACTAGATTTTCAGGGCTGGGAAGGCAGCTCAGTGGTAGAGCACTTGCCTTGCATGCATGAGGCCCTGGGTTCTATTCCTCAGTACCACATAAGAAGAAAAAAAAGCCGGAAGTGGCGCTGTGGCTCAAGTGGTAGAGCGTTAGCCTTGAGCTGAAGAGCTGAGGGATAGCGCCCAGGCCCAGAGTTCAGGCCCCACGACCGGACCTCCCCCCCCAAAAAAAAAGAAAAAGGAAAAAAAAAAGAAAACTAGATTTTCACACAGTTTGCCAGCAACATCATCAGCCACTCTATCTACCAATGACAGTGAAAGGCACAAAACAGGACAATGAGGAAAGAGGGTTTTTTTTTTTAATTGTGAAAATACTGTACAGAGGAGTTACAATTACATGGGCAAGATAATGAGTACATTTCTTTTTTTTTAACTGATAAAACTTTTTATTTCACTTTTGAATTTTTACACTTTTCCTGATTAGTCCATGTAAGGTGAAACTAGAACTGTTTAAAAGACATACACAAGGGCTGGGAAGGTGGCTCAGTGGTAGAGTGCTTGCCTTGCATGCATGAGGCCCGGGGTTCGATTCCTCAGCTCCACATAAGCAAAAAGAAAAAAGCCGGAAGTGGCGCTGTGGCTCAAGTGGTAGAGTGCTAGCCTTGAGCTGAAGAGCTGAGGGATAGCGCCCAGGCCCAGAGTTCAGGCTCCACAACCGGACCCCCCCCCCCAAAAAAAAGACATACACAAATCTAGTACATCAATAACCGGGGAATTTTCTTTTTTTTTCTATACTATTTTCACAACCACAGGTGGGTGTGCTTGCTAGGCAATGTAACCATCACAGAAGCAAACGGTAGGCAGAATACTGGTAAGGAAAAACAAAGGGCTACCAGATATACAGACAAGCTTGGTTCCACATTCACTACTGCATTTTCAAGTGCCAAGTATTAACTGCACATTTTTGTTCAGCTAAAAAGGAGTGATTTTTTCTTTTTTTTCTGGTTTGTTTAAATCAGTGCATGAATTTTTCTTTTCTCAGTTCAGCATATGGACAAACGGATGGGACTCTACAGCTAGGTGGAATGTCAAAGGTAAAGGAGTGATACTGTGACACTGAGGGGCCTGGCTATTCTCTGTTGTAGTGTCCACACAACTTCCCTGTGTTCTAGGGTCTTGTTTAGACATTATCTGAGAACTGAACTGGATGAGCATACTTAGGAGCTTGGTGATAATAATTAACAAGCAGTATCAGGGCTGGTTGCAATATAAGGAGAAACCATGGATACTTAAGAGTGCTTTGCTGATTCTGATTGTGGTATGACTGAAGAGCAGTAACTGTGCCCAGAACTAGAAAAGACAGGGCAATGGTGTCAGAAGCTCTTCTCAACTCTGAAGCAGGGCTTACTCACCCAATGTATCACCCACTGTATCTCTTATGTCCTGCCCATACAGTATAAAAAGTAAACAGAAGACAAAACATATAAGCTTCCAAAAGAAAATAAACATAAGGACAAAAATTTAAAGAGGAGAGAGTAAAAAATGGAAAGATCGTTAAATTTTAAAATTTCAAATGCCCCGAGCTAGGAAGAACTCAAAAAATGAGTACTCTTCAAGTGAGAAGCTATCTCTACAGAACGTTATTCTTAAAGGTAGCATCCAGGAAACAGAGAAAGCCATCCGTAAGGCACACGGTTTTTTTATTTTTCTTTTCTTCTTTTATCTAAGTGGTAATAAGGAAAAGAGATCCCCCTGATTTCACAAGTTGCAAATCAGTATCATATTGCTGTAGGAAAGGGGGTTTAAGTCACATCGTACAGGAGCACGGGACCTATTCATGGTATCACAACCAAGTTTTCTGCCACAAACAATTCTATTTTCAGGCTTTGATCCTCAGAGGAAGACTCTACATTTGTGGTCATGAACTTTTGAGTGGCAATGGCCCAAATTGGTCAAGGATCTATATGTTCTCACAGGCAGAATCACTGTGAATTACCATTAAACTTGGATGCCAAATGGTAAATGTCTCACTCCTAGTCCCAGCATTGCAATATAATCTCTATAACTTTCTGTACAACTTTACAAAAAGAATGACATTGCCCCATTTGTTAGGAAATGGAAAAACTTGGAAAAAATTATATTAAGTGAAGTAAGCCAGGCCCAAAGAAACGTAGGTCCCATGGTTTCCCTTATTTGTAATATCTAGTATATGTATGAGTCAAGCGGAAAAGGTCAGATAATGTGATGTCAGGAAAATGAACCCTTAGATGTGTATTTTAATGTTTTTTTTCTTTCATGCATGTGTTTCTAACACATTTATAAGATTATCTCTTTGTTGCTTTGTATGTCCCTCCTCCACAGTATAACCCCTGCTTTCACTATATTTGATGTCAGTATAACTTGTGGAGGAGATGGGGAAAAACCAGTTGTTTAAGGATACAGGTGGACCTGTTGCAACAATGAGAAGTACAAGTTGTCATGTCCAAAACGAGCTTTACAACGTTGGTGGGGGGGGGGGGGGGAGGAGAAGGATTGGGATTAGGGGGGGAGGGGGGAGGCTGGGAAGGGATGTGAAGGATAAACAAAGGAGGAGGCTGCAATGCTTGGTAAGAAATGTACGCATTATCCTGCCCATGTAACTGTAACTCCTCTGTACGGTATGTTCACAAATAAAATTAAATTTAAAAAAAAAAAAGAATTGTATTTCAGTGACTATTTTGATATCAGATTAAATTTTCCAAAAAGTTATACATAATTCAGGTCTATTTTTTTCTACCAGTGAGAGTTCTGCTAAGTTACAAAACCCCATAATCACAGTGTTCAGTTTTAAAAAATTAAACATACAGTAATCCTGTCAAAGTTAATTGAAATCAAAACTTCAGAATGCCGTGGCATTTATGTGACCAATTTGTGTTTTAGATACAAATACCAGCTGTTTATCCCATGGACCATTTTTGCTAGGCAGAGGCTGTGAAAAATCGAAAGTCGACATACAATTTTTTTTATCGCACAAAGGGATATATGTGGAGGGTACAGAGTGACACTGAACAGATCACAGAGCACAACAGACATTAGTTCTCTCCCTCCCCAGCATCTCCTTCATCTCCCTGGTTCTCCGATGTCCACAGAGTGAGATTGTCACTAAGTAGCTGCATGATCAGGGTGCTGTCTTTGTAAGACTCTTCATTCAGCGTATCCAAATCAGCAATTGCTTCATCAAATGCCGTTTTTGCTAGGCTGCAGGCCTTTTCAGGAGAGTTTAGAATCTCATAGTAAAAGACGGAGAAATTTAGTGCCAGGCCAAGTCGAATTGGATGTGTAGGCTGCATTTCTTTCTTACTAATTTCAAACGCTTCCTGATATGCCTGCTGGGAGTTCGACACAGTAGTTTGTTTATTGTCTCCAGATGCCACCTCAGAAAGGTACCTAAAATAATCTCCTTTCATTTTCAAGTAGAACACCTTACTTTCTGGTTGTGTAGCGTTAGGAATATTTGTCCAACAGCTCCAGAACATCATTGCAGATGTCCTGCAGCTCCGCCTCGATCTTCTCACGGTACTCTTTGCCTATCTGCTGCTTCTCATTCCTCTCCATTTTCTGCTCAATGCTGGAGATAACACGCCAGGAAGAGCGGCGGGGGCCTACCACGTTCTTGTAGGCAACAGAGAGCAGATTTCTCTCTTCATTGGAGAGTTCGTGCCCTGCTCCGTGACTGCTTTCATAGTTGCAGCTATGTCATCATAGCGCTCAGCCTGTTCAGCCAGCTTGGCTTTCTGTACCAGCTCACTTTTGTCCATGGTTGTTCCATGGGAGGGTTCCAGGGGGCAAAAGCGCTTCCAACGAAGCTTTAATAGCTGCGACCGCTTTCTTCCCAAGCCCACTCTTCAGGAGGCGGCACGGGTGGCTGCAGTGGCGGCGACGGCTGCGGCGGCGACAGCTACCACGGCTCCGAAATCGGTGGCGGCTGTGGCGGTCAGTACATTTCTTATCAAGCATTGTAGCCTCCTCCTTTGTTTCCCCTTACCATCCTCCCCCCCCCCCCCCATAACCCAATCCTCCCCCCACCCCCGCACGAAAGTTGTAAAGTTCGTTTTCGACATAACGACTTGTACATCTCATTGTTGCAATGGGCCCACCTGTATCCCTATTTAAACGATTTGTTTTTCCCCTTCCTCTCCACAAATTATACCAACATCAAATACAGTGAAAGCAGGGGTTATACTGTGGGGGAGGGACATACAAAGCAACAAAGAAATCATCTTATAAATGTGTTAGAAACAATCGCATGAGAGAAAAAAAAACATTTGAATACATATCTTAGGGTTTATTTTCCTAACATCACATTATCTGACCTTTTCCGTTTGACTCATACATATACTAGATATTGCAAATAAGGGAAACCATGGGACCTATGTTTCTTTGGGCCTGGCTTACCTCACTTAATATAATTTTTTCCAAGTCTTTCCATTTCCTAACAAATGGGGCAATGTCATTCTTTCTGATGGAGGCATAGAATTCCATTGTGTATATATGCCACATTTTCTTGATCCATTCATCTACTAAGGGGCATCTGGGTTGGTTCCATATCTTAGCTATAGTAAATAATGCTGCAATAAACATAGTCGTGATGGTAGGTTTAGTATGGTCTTGTTTGTAAACATTGGGGTAAATGCCCAAAAGTGGGATTGCTGGGTCATAGGGGAGCTCTATGTGGAGTCTTTTGAGGAACCTCCATACTACTTTCCAAAGTGGTTGAACAAGTTTACACTCCCACCAACAATGCAGTAAGGTTCCCTTCTGTCCACATCCCCTCCAGCATCTGTTATTATTAGAGTTCTTGATTTTAGCCATTCTAACTGGAGTGAGGTGGTATCTCAATGTTGTTTTGATTTACATTTCTTTTATGGCTAGGGAGGTTGAGCATTTCTTCACGTGTCTATTGGCCATCCTTCTTTCCTCTTCAGAGAAGTTTCTCTTTAAGTCTTTAGCCCACTTATTTTATTGGGCAATTGTTTCTTTGAGGATTTGTTTCTTTGGGGAATTTAATTTTTTGAGTTCCAAGTATATTTTAGATATGAGACCCTTGTCCATTGTATGGCTAGTGAAGATCTTCTCCCAATCCATGGTCTTTCTATTGATCTTGCTAGCTATGTCCTTTGCCCTGCAGAAGCTCTGCAATTTCATGCAATCCCATTTGTCCAACCTTTCTTTGATTTGTTGTGTTTCTGGGTCTCTATTAAGAAAATTTCGGCCTGGCTAAGGAGACCTAGGGTTTCTCCTATTCCATCCTGTAATGTTTTCAGAGTGTCTGCTTTGACTCTGAGGTCTTTGATCCATTTGGAGTTGATTCTGGGGCAGGGTGATATGTAAGGATCTAGCTTTAGTTTTCTACAAGTAGTTAACCAATTTTGCCAGCACCATTTACTGAAGAGGCTGTCTTTCTTCCATTCTATGTTTTTTTAGCTCCCTTATCAAAGAATAGTTGGCTATGGGTCTGTAGGTTCATTTCTGGGTTTTCAATTCTATTCCATTGGTCCTGAGGTCTGTTCTTGTGCCGGTACCACATTGTTTTGATTACTATGGCTTTATAATAGAGTTTGAAATTTGGTATTGATATTCCTCCAGCAGTGTTCTTTCTGTTGAGGATGGTGTTTGCTATTCGGGGTCTTTTATTGTTCCATATGAATTTTTGGATTGCCTCTTCTATTTCCTTGAAGAATGAGGTTGGAATTTTGATAGGTATCGTATTGAATTTGTAGATAGCCTTAGGAAGTATTGCCATTTTCAGGATGTTGATCTTTCCAATCCAGGAGCATGGGAGGTTTTGCCACTTTCTAAGTTCTGTTTTGATTACCTTTTTCAGGTTTTTAAAGTTTTCATCATAGAGGTCCTTCACTTCTTTGGTTAAGTTTTTTCCTAGGTATTTTATTTTTTGTGGGGCTATTACAAATGGAGTTGCTTTCCTAATTTCAGCCACACTTTTCTCATTGTTGGCATACAGAAAAGCTATTGATTTTTGAGGGTTAATTTTATACCCTGCTACTTTGCCAAAGTTTTGAATCAGCTTGAGTAATTTGGGAGTGGAGTCTATGGGATTCTTTAAATACAAGATCATGTCATCTGCAAAGAGGGAGAGTTTTACTTCTGAAAGAGGTTTTTTTTTAATGAGGGAAGAGGAAATATTCAGATTTATCCTAAGCTGGAACAATACCAGTGGAGTACCAGGCATCCTGTAGGGGATGCACACAGACCAGATTTTCCTTCTGCCTCTCACTGTTATCATGCTAGGAGTCACACATATAGTCTACCAGGGGCTACTTGTGTTTCTCATCCTCCCAACCAGAGTGAGAAAATGGTATCAGAGCAGAGCATGGGGAAATATATTCTTTATTCTTCTGTGAGTGCCAATCTTGGGACTTGATATCAAGGCTTCCACACTGTCCCAAAGCTTTTCTGAACAAGGTAGATCTCTATCACTTGAGCCACAGCTATACTTCTAGCTCTTTTTTTTGAGAAGTTAATTGGAGATAAGTGTCTGAGGGATTTCCTAAATCGATCCTTTGATCTCAGCTTCCTGAATGGCTAGAATGACAGGCATGAGCCAATGCACCTGACTCTAATTCTTGTTACAAATAAAAACTTTTTATTGACCACTCATCACCATAATTTAAAATTAATCAAAAATGTATTGTGAGATAGCATTCTGATTAGTACACAGTTATTTTTCTGGCTTTTGTGGAACTGGTAAACCGAAACCATTCAGACTACATATAAGAAATGAATTGGGGTCATAAGAAGTATGCAAGACAATAAGTATAGAATTTTATTCACTCATTTAGGACAGCAGGACCATATAGTTAAAAATCTGTAAGCAGCTGATTCCTGTTCCATGGGATGTCTTAGGTACCCTAAAATTGGCTCACTACAGAAACTTTTCAAAGTCTACTTTGTTTTGCTTAGCCAATTAAAGGAAATCAAGATTTGTCTTAATTTGTTCATCTGGGTGGTGAAGTTATTGGTACTAAAATACATTTCTTTCAGAAAAATGTGCTAACAACCTATTGCATTTACATTTCTATGGAAGAGGCAGGAGGACCTAAAATTTGAGGCCAGCCTGATACCTGGCAAGATCAAGGCCAGAATGAGCTTCTCAGGGAGCAGTCTCAAAAAAGCAAAGAAACAACAACAACAACAAAAAACAGGGGCCAGGCATGAGTGACAAAGCATTTGCCTGAAATAGGTTGTGGTGTTTAGTACCTCCAAAACAAAATCTCCAAAAAAAAATTGCAAACATGTTTTATGTATACACACATACAACTAAACAAGAACGATTGGGATGGTCTTTCAACATAGCAGTTAAAGACAGATGTTCTGATTAAGTAATGACTAAAAAAAATGACTAACATTTAAAACATCTGTTCTTGAATACGGAGTAAATATAGACTAAAAACAAGTACTCTTCTGATAAAGAAAGCAACTCCAGAAAGCCTTTATTATATTTTATGCAAAAAAACTCCAGAACACACAAATACTACTTTCAAAATCAACATATGAAATTTATTTCATGAGAATGTAGTTATTGTTTCATAACAGTAATGTCATTGCAGGACTCAGATTATATATTCGTATTTTTAATGAATGCATATATACATTCCTGAAAAAATTAATGAATTTCATCTTCTAGGCCAATACAGTTTCCATTCATAAAAAGCAATTACCACTTGAGGGCATTCAACATTTGTCTCTTTTGCTGGCACCAACTCAGGTTTGTCTAAATTCTTCCACATCATGAGGAACATCAATCCTCCATTATTTTTTGTGGCACTAATTATTCGTTCAGGCTCAAGACCCCTAGCAAAACCACTTGGGTTGTCACCAGCATCTCTTATATTCTCTGATGTGTTATCATCAGATTCACTGTCAGATAAGCCAGCTTTTTGAGAATTTAGAAAAGCCTCAATTAACTCTGGACAAGTTAAATATTCTTCCAGTTCCCAGGTATTATCAGCATCTCAATAGCCCTTCCATTTCAGGAGATATTCTGCCTGGCCAGCTAATATATGCCAGTCCACTATTTTCTCCACTTCAAATTCTTCAAGCTCTGCTTTTTCAGTCTTCAGAATTTCCGTTCTATTTCTTCCTTCCTTTTGGCAGCATAGTTTCCTTGGAGGCAATCTTTTAATTGCATATTTGAGATCTATTATTAACCAATTCAAATGCTCCAGGTCATGATCCTGCAGCAACTTTGGCTTTGGAGCCTCAAGGTCAAGTCATCTTCAAGGGGATTTTTGTTAAATTTCTATGGTAAGTCCTAGGAAAAGAAAAAATCACCAGTCTGAATCAATTGTGAAACTTGCTAAGTCACCATGTCTGTAGACCTAAAAAAAATCCATTCCAGTGACATGTTCCTCAATAACAACCTGGCTTCTAGTAATAGACAAAGCTGACCAGATAAGCATGGCCAGGGTGTTAAAAGCCAAACTGTCATTGAAACTACAACCACAAAATAAGCGAGGTTAAACCCCCAAAATATCCTTAACAAGACACACCATAAGCAACTTATGAAAATAAAGATTTTTAAAAAAAAATTTAGAGAGAAATCTATTACCTACAGAGGAACACTGATTTAAATGCTAGCATAGGACATTTCTCTTTTCAATCCAGAAAAGTCTGGAAGGAAGTAGTACATTTTTCAAATGGTGAAAGTAAAAACCATCAACTCTGAATTCCAGGTTCAGGAAAATTATCCTTCAGGAGTTGTTGAAAAATAAAGACATTCTCAGATGATAAAATTTGAAAAGTGTCACTAGCAGATGTATCAATAATGAACATACAAAAAGGAAACAATACCATAATGTGGCAGGAAACTTTAGAAAGGAAACCAAGAAATATGTAAAAATCAGGGTGAATATTATTGACACATCTAACCTTATGTTACTTTAAATTCTGTTGAACTGTTGAAGGAAAA